TATGTCCAGAACAACTTCACAAGTGGACGCATGGCCTTAGTGGGACTCGGTAGGTAATCTGCCATTTCTTGTTTTGTGCCATGCTGAATTCCGTTAAAGACAACACTCTTTATCATTTCGGGGTGTTCTCCTTCTGACTCGGGTGTCGTCTTGCAGGTGTCAGCCACGCCGACCTAAAGCAGGTTGGAGAACAGTTCCTTAACATTCGCAGTGGAGCTGGCATGGCCGGCGAAAAAGCCAAATATCGCGGAGGTAAGTTGCAGTCTTCTATCTTGGCTTTGCTCATGAAGTGTCTTTTTTTTAGCATTCTGAGATTGCTGGGAATATTTGCCAAATCCAGGTAGTCCCTGACTTACAACTGATCATTTAGTGAACATTCAAAGTTACAACAGCACTGCAGAAAGACTTAACTATTGTTTTTCACACTTCCGACCGTTACAGCATCCTCCTGGTCAGATGATCAAAATTCAGACACTTGGCAACTGACTCATATTTATGACGGTTGTGATCCCCTTTTGCGACCTTCTGACAAGCAAAACCAATTAGGGAAGCTGGATTCCCTTAACCATGTAATTATTAACACCTTCAGTGATTCGTTTAACAAAAGTTGTAAAACGGGGCGAAACTCATTGAACAAATGTCTCGCTTAGCAACATAAATGTTGGGCTCCATTGTCGTAAGTTGAGGACTACCGTGTTTCCCCCCCGAAAATAAGACCGGGTCTTATATTAATTTTTGCTCCAAAAGACGCATTAGGGTTTATTTTCTGGTTAGGTCTTATTTTGGGGAAAATACGGTACTAAATGCATCCATCCGGCTGACAGTTTTTTGTTTTTTTTTTAATTTTGATTTATATGCCGCCCTTCTCCGGAGACTCAGGGCGGCTTACAATGCGCTAAGCAATAGCCTTCATTCTTTTGTATATTTATACAAAGTCAGCTTATTGCCCCCACAAACTGGGTCCTCAATTTACCTACCTTAGAAAGGATGGAAGGCTGAGTCAACCTTGAGCCTTGGCGAGATTCGAACCTGCAGTAATTGCAGGCCTCTGGTCTTAATAGCCAGCTTAATAACAGGGTGCCTTAGACCACTGTACTACCAAGGCTCATTACAGTCTTAACTGGGGTTTATTTTGCAGGTAGGGCTTATATTATGAGTATTCTGAAAAATCATGCTAGGACTTATTTTTCGGTTGGGTCTTATTTTTGAGGAAACGGGGTACCTGTTCTTAGATCTTTTATTACGGAACTACTGCAAGCACAGGTGTAGCTTTTCAAAAGGTAAAAATGCCATGAACCCACCCCCTAGGTTATTTCTCGAGGAATTTATAACCTGTCACAAGAATAGGGGTAGCCCTCAACTTACGACTTGTCACTTAACGTCCGTTCAAATTTACTACCTGCCTAAAAGGGATTTGCAACCCAGATTCAAAATTCTAAAAGTTGGGCCTCGCTCTGTGGTCACATGACTGAACTTCGGGCACTTGGCAAACATCGACAGCCAATTGCCGCCTCCGATGGTCAGGTGGCCCATGTTTTAACGACCGTTTTGCAGAAAACTGGCATTTATCTTTATACAGAACCACAACCCATAATAAACCATTGATTCGTTTAACGGCCGCCTTTGATTTACGACTGCTGCCAATAAAGGGTCACAAAATTGGGTTGATCATGTGACCTATCTGTTTTACAGTCGTCACGACATACCATAAGGGCCAGGCTCCATTACGGTTGTATGTCGAGGACTGCCTGTATAAGAAACAGCCTTGCTTTGCATTGGTGTTCAGTGCTCCTGAATGAACCAGGAATTTCGCCAAACCCTAATAGCACCACTCCCTTAGGGTGAACCCCTGTTTCTAAGAGATGTTGATCTAGCACAGGGGTCTGCAACCTTAAACACTCAAAAGAGCCATTTGGACCCGTTTCCCACAGAAAAGAAAACACCGGGAGCCACAAAACCTTTCCTGTGCCTGACTATTTCTTGAGCGGCCACAAAACTAGCATTTGTAGTTGAATTAAATGTTCTGTTTTCTTCTGAAACTTTTATTTTCTTGCATTTATCCATGGTTGGCCTACCAGGGGTTGGTCAATAAATCGTGTGCCAGCGGGTGTCACACATTGGCGGTTGTGACGCATATTTTGAGTGACGGAGCTGCAGCAAAGGGATGAAAGAGCCACATGCGGCTCCAGAGCCGCAGGTTGCTGACCCCTGATCTAGCAAATGTTTGCTATTTCCTAGAATGCTTAGGGGAGAGAGGAGTTGGGTGAAAATCAGTGTCGCCACCGAGCAATCAGTTTTCATATCTTTGGCATACTTAAATCTAAACTAATTTCTCCTCTTCCCTTAAGGTGAAACGCGAGAACCGCACCGCGATAACCTCGTCCACGCGATTGTAGTAGCAGAGGGAGCAGCTGTTGGAAGCGCGGAAATGAACGCATTTAGCGTCCTTCAAAATATCCTTGGAGCAGAATCTCTCATTAAGAGAGGAAGCAGGATTACCAGCAAACTTGTCCAGGAGATTACAAAGACAACTCCCCTGCCCTTTGATGTAAGCACCTACAGGAATAGCTGCATCTTCTAAACTCCTCATAAACAATAGAGGAACCAACTATAAAAGAAACTTGCTCTTCTCCTTCGGAAAAGGAAGAGATTCCTCAACTAAAGTCCATAAAATTAATTTGCCTAGGTTTCACGAAGTGAGAATCTTAAGTTTGTAAGCAGATGCTGCACCTTAACTCCTAGCAGTTTGCAGCATTCAAAATAGGTTATACTGGAAATAAAATAATATGCTAGAATATGCTAACTAAAGCAGCCTTCTGTTGCAGGTAACAGCATTCAATGCGAATTACTCTGATTCTGGACTTTTCGGCATATACACCATCTCTCAAGCCTCAGTCACCAGGGAGGTAAGTTATCAGGGTTGATGTAATTCTAGAACCTTCCCCTCCCCGCGGGGGCTTGTGAATTGCTTGCACTCGCAAGTACGTTCTTGTTCTGATGTAGGCTTCCTGAGTCAGTAAAACACACAAGTAGTCCCAAAAACTTCTTTTATTGCAACAGCTGTGAATTCTGTTCATTCACAGATGAGTCCCAAATAGTTGTAAAGAGTCCTTCGGGATAAGGCTGATAATCACCCACCTTTATCTCCCTTGACACGCTGCCAAAGACCTGCCGTATTTTTCAGAGTATAAGACGCACCTACCTTTTTTGGGGAGGAAAAGAAGAAAAAGAAATCTCCCTCTGCCTCTGAGCAATTTTGCCTCCTCCTAGCAAACAGCAAACAGCCTGCTTTACTTTCATTTTCGTTTTCAGCATAGCTTGATTAGCACAAGGGGGAAAAAAATCTGCTCCAGCAATTTTCTTCCTTGCAGCAAGCAGCAGAGGCCCATGCAAAACAGCTGAGAGTCGGGAGGCTGATCTAATCAACTCGTGCTAATTAAGCTGTGCTGAAGCTGAAAGGAGCTGGTTTTTCTTGCTGTTTGCTGCAAGGAGGTAACTGCTGGGAGGCAGAAGCCAAAGGGTGGGGCCAGTGGGTGGACGGGGCTACATTTTCACCTAAATTTTCACCCCCTTTTGGGGGGGGAGTGTGTCTTATGCTCCAAAAAATACGGTAATTGGCAAAGCCACAGAGTCCAGAATCAAACAGAGCTTCAGACTTTAAAATGAACAGAATTAACAACGTTGCTTCCTGCAAAGGCCCAAGTGCCTTTGTTCCTCTTTTAAGTCTTATGGGAGGGGCCAACCATCTCCAAGCCCTACTCCCGAGTTGTCCCTTTTGTTTTAACTGATTTTGCCTTCTGGCAGCTCTGCACATGCGCACGCTGGGAACAGGCTCCCCCTGTTCCTCTGCCTCGCCGAGGTCCGACTCTGGAGGTTCCGGAGGCAGCACGTACCTCCCAGATGGCCCTTTCTCTGCCTCCGACGCAGAGCCCTCATCCGAGCCTTCTCCAGACTCCAGGAGTGGCCCATGTTCCTTCCCAGCCTCCTCACTGCCCGACTCTGCTGCCAGCTCCGCAGGCTGCCAGTGGACCACAACCGTTCTCAGGGTGGGCGTGCCAAAATGTGCAACTCTTTTGAGAGGGATGTTAAGGGGGAAAAAAATGGATGTCTTTGAGGGTGGAGTACCTCCAGTTACTGCAACCAAAAGTAACATATTTTATATATATATAATGGTTGTATTAAAGGTAATCAAAGCTGCTTTGAATCAAGTGAAGGCGGTTTCCGAGGGTGGAGTTACTGATGAAGAACTGAAAAGAGCCAAGTAAGTTTTCCCCCCACCCCAAGATTGTTTGGTTATACAGTGACTTGTTAACTCTCCAAAAATATCGTGGCTCCTTCTTTCTGTTAAGTTTTCTTGACTACCAGGTATGGCTATGTGTAATATAATTCTCTGGGTCTATTAAAACTTTATTCAGCTAGAAAAAAAAAAAAAAACTCGCAGCTTTCTGTATGCGCGAAACTTGTTCATCATCCAAAATGAACAATAAAGTGGTAGCCAGAAGCAAGGTTGTAACCGAGATAGAGCACATGGTTTTTATTATGTATTTGTTCGTTTGTTTGAGTTTTATCCCTTAATTAATTCATAAGTAATCCACGATGAATATTCTTTCCTCCCAGTTCCCTCCACATCCACCTTGTGAGGTGTGGGTTAGGCCGAGAGAAAGGAACTGGCCCAAAGTTGCCCAGCCAGCAGCTTCCATGGCTAAAATGGGACTCAAACTCACCACCTCCTGGTGATTGACCCAAAATCACCCAGGTTGGCTTTCCTGCCTAAGGCAGGACTAGAACTCACAGTCTCCTGGTTTCTGGGGCTGGCACCTTAACGACTGCACCAACCTGGTTAAATGCAGAACTTCCTGGTGTCTCAAGAACATTGTCTGTTTGAGATTCTTAGCCATTGCTCTGTCAGTCCAGAGGAAATAAGTGGCAAAACGGTTAACTTGTTGTATTTACAATCAGTTGAATCTTTTTTTTTAAAAAAAAAGGAGCAAAAACACTTGTTATCCAAAATCTATTTATTCTGATTGTACAAATTTATTTGTACGTATATATTATTTATTACATGATTTTACAAAGTGCATGATTTATGGCATTTTTTTCTCTTGGAGATATTTTATTGAAACTTATTTTTGTTCCCAGTTGCGTAAGTGAAATTACTCAAGATGACTTTCCTCATGTTGCTTTCCTTAGAGAATCTCCTTAATGCCACAGTGACAGCCATTTTAGAGTAATCTTGGATCCAACTGCAATACAAAGTAAATGTTTGTCGAAAGCAAAGTGACAATAATTGGAAATATGTTCAGTTTTATCCTTAGCACATATTTTCCTCTTATTCTTTCAGTATTTATCTCATGATCAAGTTAATCTAGCCCCGCACCATAGTTTTGAGAACGTCAGCAGTGTACGACTAATGCATTAAAAAGCTTACGAATCAAACTGGGTTATAAACTGATGGATGGTACCAATTCTTTGTGCCATTAGACATTAGTAAGAGAACCCTTCACATTATGGAAGGCATTTTTTTTTTTTTGCATTGAGTAAAAGACTCAAGCCTTTTCCCTTAATTGACGATCCTAACTTGTAAAAATCAACCAACGTTTTGTCACTTTTCTGTGGAAATTGTCTTAATCCTAACTCATTAAAATGCAGTAGCTTTGTATTGGGGTGTCCAGCCTTGTCAATTGTTCTGACCTAGGCTTCCTTAGAAAATAAACAGCACAAACCTAGTCTCGGCAAACCTCTTTAATTTAAAAGGCTGTGAATTATTGTCATTCCCAGTCTGAAAGGCTTCTCAAACAGTCTTTCAGGGGAGTGTTTACAAACACCCACCTTATCTCCCTTGGAATGCTGCCAGAGAACTAATTGCCACACGCAGGGCAAGGCCAAACTTAGCACAGAGTCAAACAGAGCTTTTCCAGACCAGATGAACTAAATTGCTTCCTGCAAAAGCTCATGTCCCGTTTGCTTCTCTTATATGTCTTATGGGAGGGGCCAATCATCTCCAAGCCTTACTCCCAAGTCGACCCTATTTCCTTAATTGTTCCAGTCTCCTGGCAGCTCTGCGCATGCGCACACTGGGAACAGGCTCACACTGTTCTTCTGCCTCGCTGATGTCAGACTCCGGAGGCAGCAAAGATCTACCAGATGGCCTTGGCCCCCACTCTGCCTCCGACTCAGAGCCCTCGTCCGAGTCTTTCCCAGACTCCAGGACTGGCCCACGTTCCTCCCCAAGCACCTCACTGTCCGACTCTGCTGGCGGGCCACAACATCAATGTTAAGACCTGTGGACTTTAATTTACAGAATTCTGGGAGTTGAAGTCCACGGATCTTAACGTCGACAAGGCTGGATACCCCTGCTTTAAATTGAAGATATGCCATTTTTATGAATTGCGACCAGATTGCTGTTCTTACCTTCCTTTCCCTCCCGTTCCTTGACAGGCAGCAAATGAAGGCAGCATTTTTTATGTCCGTGGAGTCTTCAGAAGGTTTGCTGAATGAAATTGGTAGCCAGGCGTTAGCATTGGGGACATACACCTCTCCGGCCCACGTGGTTGAACAGATTGACTCTGTGACCACTGCTGATGTTGTGAATGTAAGTCTGGCACCAGTCAGTCATTATTATAATGTGATCAGAAATCAGTTTTCTGTTTCTGTGTTTAGTAGGCAGGAATTTGGGGGGGCACTTCTGGGATCTTAATGATTTCCTTCATAAAAGGATCAGCAATCCCCATATCTGGGACTGAATCCTGAATCACGGGTACCCCCATCTTCAGTGCTGAGGGACAGAGTTTGCCCAGAGATCCTGTAAAGCCGATTGCAGCTATATTAGGCTGGTGCCTGTGGTTAATTTGCACACTCCAAAGTGCATTTGCGTCTAGTTTTCATCCATGTTAACTGTCTTTGGAGACCTGTTTTAATAGAAAAGAGGATAGAAATAAGTTAGCATCAGTCGCTTTTATGTCAGAAAGCCTGCCTCTCTACAAGTAGTCCTCGATTTACAACCGTTCACTTACAACAAAGTTACAATCGCTCTGAAAAATGGGATATGATCAGTCTTTGCACTTAACGGTCCCAATATGCCTGGGTCATGTGATCACTATTTGCAACCCTTCTTAGCTGGCTTCCAACAGAGTTGGTGAGGGGATTTGCCAGATCACTTAATGACTGCATGGTTCACTTAACAGCTGCTGTGGTTTTCTTACCTACCACGGCAAAAAAAAAAAAAGTTGCAAAATTGAATGTGGCTCATTTAACAACTGCCTTGCTTAGCAAAGGAAATTCTGGTCCCACTTGTGATTGCAAGTCAAGGACCATCTGTAATTTTAAAAGAGACTTAAAACTTAAAAAGAGCGTATTTTAAAAGAAACAGGCTAATTGTTCAATATGTTTACCAACCAAACCTCCTGCTTTTATTTTGTCAGGCGGCTAAGAAGTTTGTCAGTGGGAAGAAGTCGATGACCGCTCGGGGAAACCTGTCCAATACCCCTTTTGCTGACGAGTTGTAAGAAAACAAAGACGGGTACGGTTGTTAGGCGAGCCCCAAAGCAAATGGATTGATTGCTCTTCCCTGTGCTTTGGCTTAACAGATTTCCATGTCTATTTACATACATCAAATAAAGTGCAGAACTCGTACAACAACGGAATGGCCAACATTTTGTCTTCAAAAACTAGATTGCAGAAGTTTGCCAGCTTTGGTTGGACCGGGTGGTAAGGCTTGTAAAGACATAAATAAACTAAGGAAGTGAGTTCTAGCATAAGGTGTATAAACAAAGCTGCTGGATCTTTGGGCTTTGGGGTTAGCTATTTCAAAGAGAATTCTCTATATAGCATATAAGAAGAAGCGCTTACTTAGATCAGTGTGATCATTTTGAAGTAAATTCTTAACCTCTAAAAGCGAAGGGCAGCTGAATGCAGCTCTTTCCATTATTCTCCAGAGGCCGGCTTCCAAAAACTGTCCGTAAGAAAACCAGGTTTCTTCTTCCCTTCTAAGGGGGTTCCTCCACAGTAGAGCATTTCTAGTTTCAAAAAAACGCCAGGTTTTCACATCTCCACACACATGATAACCGATTTTCAGTTCAGGGATAAGGGGTGCAAGCGAAAATCCGGGCCATAGGTCCAACGCGGTGCCCCCCCTGTCTTAGCCTTAGGGGCAAAGATAAATTCAGGGGCCTCTCTACTCGAGTTCGTAAGAAACGTTTTCGAGCCAAAACGCATCCGACACGGAGGAAGAAGACGATGTCGAGGGCGGGGCTTTATGTTTGGGCATAGTCCAGTAGGGAGAGGATGAAGATAAGTATAACGTTGACATATCCACCTCGCTTTCCGTTTCAAAATCCTTGTGGATCATAATGTCGCAGCCGATGTCGGAACCCACCGTAAAGGTGTAGGTTTTCCTTTCAAAAATGTGCCAGTCTTTGGAGATCCATTTGGGTTGATGTTTGATCAAAGGCTCAATGGAAAGCGAGCGCAGAGTTTTCACATTATGGACGTTACGTTTCTTACGGACAGTATGGACGCTTTGGACATTATGGACGCTGCGGATGCTATGGACACTATGGATGCTTCGGACACTATGGATGCTTCGGACACTATGGACGCTATGGATGCTACGGACGCTGCCCACCGACACAGCTCTTACACGCTGCGGTTCCTGGTAGCTCTCCTCACTGTCACTCTCGCTTTCTTCAACCATCTCTTCGCTCTCGTTCTCCGAGTCCTCGCTGCTGGTCCAATTTTCTTCACTGTCGTAACTCTCTATGCTGAAATGTAGAGAAGGATCAGTTCCAGCAGGGTATAGTCACTACTGTTTTAGCGTTTTTATTTCTCAAAAAAAATCTGGATAGATAACAAAACTCTTACTCTGTTGCAGGCCCTTTTAATTCAGGAATGTTCATGAGGGCAGTCTGCCACCGGTTTGGGATTTTAATAAAATCCCTGTAAACCTGGATTTGCAGAATGGTCCCTATGGGAGCGGTGTGCAGGAGCTGTCTGAGTTCTCGCAAGGTCCATCCTAAGACGTTGGCGTGTCCGATTTTGAGTAGGATGTCGCCTGAAACGGGGAAAAAAACAAAACGAAAACGGAATTGACCCCATGATACTCTTAGCTGCCAGTCATTGCTTAAGAAACGTAATTGAAAAGTACACTTCAAAATAAATTAAGAAAGTAATTAGCTTCAGTTAAGCATAACAATAAAATGGTTGTGTGTGTGTGTGTGTTTGCGAAGGTCTGGAAAATAAGGTAATAAAGAGAACACATCCCAAAATGTTGATTGCTCAAAAATCAAGCAGTCCTTCAACAAACAAAGAGCCTTGGTAGTACAGTGGTCTAAGGCACCCTGTTATTAAGCTGGTTATTAAGACCAGCTGCCTGCAATTACTGCAGGTTCGAATCTCGCCAAGGCTCAAGGTTGACTCAGCCTTCCATCCTTTCTAAGGTAGGTGAAATGAGGACCCAGTTTGTGGGGGCAATAAGCTGACTTCGTATAAATATACAAAAGAATGAAGGTTATTGCTTAGCGCATTGTAAGCCGCCCTGAGTCTCCGGAGAAGGGCGGCATATAAATCAAATTTAAAAAAAAAAACAAACAGATTTGGTTGGTTTTCTATGCCACCCATCCCCCCTACAACGTGACACTGGGCAATTTGATTGTTTGAAATTCCTTGCTAGGACAACCACTGATTTTTATCAAATGGTACTTATAGCACCTATTGGGGAGTCCAGCTTTTGTAGGAGGCCACATGTTAGACATGGTCTTCATCGGGCAACGGATGCAACATAATTTGAAAGGGGATATTGGTTGTGGTCAGCTCCCTTTCTTGCTCCAGATTGCTACGGAGCTGACCAGTGCAAACAACCTCTAGGAAGGAGGGACCTTTTGGATCGGGCTGATGGATCCTTCGGATTTTCAAAGGGTAGTTGGAGGTTGGCCTGAGGTCATGGTGGAGAGTTCTACTGAAGTTATAGAGCTGAGGGAAAAATATTGGACAATATTGCAGATAAGTTGTCTCTCCCCTTTCATGTATGTATCTACTGAGGGAGGTTCAGGAGATGATGTGGCAGGAGAAGCCAGGAGCAACGTTGGTGGAAGACCAGAAGCACTTCTGACCAAACATGATCCACCAAGGGTTCGGTTGGCAAGCCTCTATGGAGATAATGAAAGCGGCACAATGATACAAGTAGCCCTCAACTTACAACAGTTTGTTTAGTGACCATTTGAAGTTGCAGCAGCACTGAAAAAGGTGACCTAGGACCATTTTTCACACTTGCGACCTTTGCAGCATCCCCATGGTCATGTGATCAAAATCCAGAGGCTTGGCAACTCATGAATGATGATTGCAGTGCCCCAAGGTCATGTGATCCCCTTCTGTGACCTTCCAACAAGCAAAGTCACTGGGGAAGCCAGATTTACTTAACCACCGTGTGACTAACTTAACAACTGCAACGATTCACTTAACAACTGGCAAAAAGGATTGTAAAAATGGGGCAAAACTCGCTTAACAAATGTCTCGCCTAGCAATATAAATGTTGGGCTCAATTGCGGTCGTAGGTCGAGGACTACCTGTAATCTCTCCTGGATAGTGACTTGAGTATAGCTAATGGTGGGTTTTTTCACCCTTGGGAACTTATACCCTTTTCCCATTGTTGTGAATAAGTCTTCATCTTGTTTGTTACTGGCTTGTACGGTCTCGAACTGTGTTTTGTGGTTTCACCTCACCTGCTTGGAGTTTGCCGTCTCTGGCAGCAGCACCTTTCTCTACCAGACCAGAAACCTGGAGATAAGGCCCATTCTGAATTAGTATGATACCAAGGCCTTCCTGGTCCATCTGAATATTTGTCTTGATCGTTGTGCTCAAAGTATGTTCAGAATCCTCCATGTCCGAAGATTCATCTAAATTACAAATGCAGGGCTCTTCAAAAGGCTGCTTACGCATCAATGTAGAATTCCACCACACCCAGTTTCTTAAGATAACACAATTCCTCTGGCCTGCGTTGTACAAAAAGTGTGTGCCTACATTTTTATCCTGTTCCGAAGTCAACTTTAGATCTTGCTTTCTGACTAGTATAATTAGCAGGATTTGTTCTGAGCCATAACTAGATTTTTATATTATGCAAACAACTGTAAACCGTGGATTATATTAAAGAGTGTTGTGTAAAGCCAACATTGGTTTATTCCAGGGGTCGGCAACCCGTGGCTCTGGAGCCGCATGTGGCTCTTTCAATCCCTCTGCTGCGGCTCTCTGTTGCTGGTCGGCTCCACAATTGATAGGGCTTTCAGTTAGGACAGGTAGAGGAAAAAGGATGCCACTCTAGGAGGAGATTCTATGGTGGGGGAACCGACTTCCAGTTGGCAGAGGAAAAAGGACACCGTGCTAGGAGGAGACACTGGTGGGGGAACCGGACTTCCGGTCAGCAGAGGAAAAAGGACACCGCACTAACCACCGGAGCCCACTGGCTCAATTTTTCTACAATTTGAAATTTGGAAGCAACCCAACCCATAATACATTAGATCTGTTTTCCCTAACCTGACATTCTTAAGTGTGCTGAACTATGACTTCCCCCCCAATTACCACGTTTTTCTGGTTCTAGTAATGAATTTTAAAAATTGCGGGCCAACATCTTTGGAAAATGCTGAATTAGCAAAATCTTTTGTTAGCCAATTCAACTGATCTGTCTTCTCACAGCTAATTTCCCCTAGATGTGTTGGATGTGAAGTTAAGAAATATGTGCTTACCTGAACCCCAGTCGCTTTCATAATCTTCTAAGTCAGAATAATAGCTTCCCTCATCTGCAGAGAATGAGAATACTAGTAAGTTACAAAGCTTGTAAATCCTGACCAAAAGCATACAAGTTGGTCATCATAATCCAACGAACATGAACACTTGAGGTTGTTTTTTTTACGCAAGCCAAATCTTAGAGAGAGACTTTATAGGAAATAGAAAAACATGGAGAGGTTTGCAAAGATGGGATCCAACCAAAAAAAAAAAAAACAGTCTCAAAATTTGAGGATGTCTAATGGCATTTGCTCTTTCATTAGCAAACTTTAGTGGCATATCAAAGTAGGAAGTACTACTTTGAAAAGCTATTTGTTACTATGCATCAGTGGCTGCCTCCTTGTGAGAAATTTGAAGTTGAATCAGATGCATATTCCATTGGGTGCCATCTGAGATGCCCATCGATCAATAACAATTCCTGCTTAAAGAAAGAGTTGGCCAGCAGTCATTCATTTATTGTGTTAAGTACATGCAGGAATGTAATGGTGATATCAACATCTCTTGGACTTCTGCACAATGAGCAGCATTTGTTGACCCAAAAACTTGAAAGGTCAGTTGCAAGAATTTGTATCAAATTATTGATCGCATTGATGGGAAGAGAAAGGAAGAAGAGCAAGTGAGAAGGAATTGAGCTATAGTGATACCTGATGATACATCAGACCATCTTCTAAAGTACGGTCTGGTTGATGACCTCCTTCTGAAATATGGCCACTTTAGAGATGATTTTCTTCTTTCTTCTCTCTCTCTGGTGGAGGATCTCCTTCTGTCAGAAGATCTCCTCCTGTCAAATGTCCTCCCTCGGTCAGCTGATGACTTCCTTCTGAAATATGGTTCTCTTACAGAGGGCCTCCTGGCAGATGATCTCCTTCTGTCAGATGATCTATCTCTGGTGGAGGATCTCCTTCTGTCAGAAGATCTCCTCCTGTCAAATGTCCTCCCTCGGTCTGCTGATGATCTCCTTCTGAAATATGGTTCTCTTACAGAGGGCCTCCTGGCAGATGATCTCCTTCTGTCAGAAGATCTCCGTCTGTCAGCTGATCTTTCGACTGATGATCTCCTTCTGAAATACGGTTCTCTTGCAGAGGATCTCCTGGCAGATGATCGCCTTCTGTCAGATGAGCTCTCTCTGGTGGAGGATCTCCTTCTGTCAGAAGATCTCCTCCTGTCAAATGTCCTCCCTCGGTCAGCTGATGACCTCCTTCTGAAATATGGTTCTCTTGCAGAGGGCCTCCTGGCAGATGATCTCCTTCTGTCAGAAGGTCTCCGTCTGTCAGCTGATCTTTCGACTGATGACCTTCTGAAATACAGTTCTCTTGCAGAGGATCTCCTGTCAGATGATCGCCTTCTGTCAGATGAGCTCTCTCTGGTGGAGGATCTCCTTCTGTCAGAAGATCTCCGTCTATCAAATGGCCTCCCTCGGTCAGATGACTTTTTGCTGTCAGATAATCTAGCTGAAGAACCACTGATAGAAGACTTGAGGGAAGGCGATGTCTTGAAAGTTAACTCTTTCTTAAAAGTTGGCTTTTGAGGATCCATGGTGATCAATCCTTAACAGAAATCTATCTGGAACCCAACATATACAGAGACTACATGGAAAGTGGAAATAACCACCAGCCTGAAAATATCACATTAAGGAAGAACACTGTAGTGGGCAAGGCGATGGCGATGCCTAGCAACAGTTTAGAATCTTGATAGTTATTTGAATTCCATGGATTTTGGAATTTTCAAGGATGAATAAAGATTTTTTTTAAAAAAGGACTGGGAAGATTTAAGGTGCCTTCACAAGCTTCTGAAATATCTGGTGTTGTTGCAAAAGTGGAATTGTGGGGGAAAAATGATCATTCAATTGATGGGCTCACACCCATCACTGAACTATTAAATGAAGGTAATGTAGTTTAGATAGTAGATTTGACTGAATATCACGAATGAAGGTAGCCTGTTGCAAACATTGCACAAACTCTTCCCCGTATTTCTTTCCTAAAACGAGGCTCTGCAATACTGTAATTTTTTTGTACAGCAAGCTGTGGAGATAATATCCTAAAGGTCGTTTTTAAGTACGCCTTTCTCAGAGACTCTGTAATTTGCACAGATGGATCTAAAAATGCAGTGGATAGACCATCCGCTGCATAAATGTCACATGGCAATTAGTTAAAAGAGTTGGCAGTCTTAACAAACCAGTTATCGGCCAAACATCTGATACTACTGGATGCAAAAAAAAATCTCATTTTGATTTCGGAGTGGGGGGGGGTCGCTTGCGGAAGATCTGTTTAGCATGGCTAAAACAAAACTTTTCCAATGTGACAGCTCTTTAAAAGTTATGCGAAAATATTGAAAAGAAGAAGTAAATATCTGTTTTTGTTTTTTTAAAAAACTGTTTAATAAAAATATTTTTTAAAAAAAGAAGTTATGCACCCAAGCACATTTTAAAATGTGTTTCGAGAAATCCCATTTACAAAAATGACTTTGCATAGTAAACAAATAAAAATAAAATAAAAATAAAGTTTTGAAATTTAAAAAGTACATAAGCGGGGGAGAACTGGATATAGAACTCCAGAAAATTATCTCCTCTTCTAAGCCAATTGCCCCTGGGCTGGACCTAGGTCCGTGATGGTGAACTTATGGCACGTGTGCCACAGGTGACACGCGGAGCCCTATCGGTGGGCACTCAAGCTCAGCTCTGGCACATATGCGCACATTGGTCAGCTGATTTTCGGGCCTTCTGGGCCCACTGGAAGTTGGCAAACAGGCCATTTCCGGCCTCCGGAAAGCCTCCAGGGAGGTGGAGAAGGTCATTTTCGCCCTCCCCAGGCTCCTAGAAAGGTTCTGGAGCCTGGGGAGGGCGAAAAACAGGATTATGGGGCCTGCCGTGCCATCACATGCCAAAAGCAAGGGAAGCGTGGGGGTGGGGGTGTCATGCACACCACCGACAACCTCCCACCGACCAATATGCTCCCACAGAGAGGGTCTCCTCAGGGTGCCGTCGGTCAAGCAATGTTGACTGGCGACCCCCAGGGGGAGAGCCTTCTCTGTGGAGGCACCCGCCCTCTGGAACGAGCTACCCCCAGGGATACGATTGATCCCGGACCTCCGTACTTTCTGCCGGGCTCTGAAGACCTTCTTCTTTCAGCAAGCTGGGCTGGCTTAAAATTTTTAATTGTTTTATGGGTAAGGGGTTTTAAATTGGGGAAGCCAAATGGATTTAATTATGTTTTAAATTATTTTAATTTTCATATTGTATGTATTTTAATCCTGGCTGTTCACCGCCCTGAGTCCCTCTGGGAGACGGGCGGTATAAAAATTTAATAAATTCAATTCAATTCAATGCACACATGCGCAGGGGCAGGACGCATAGAATTATCGGTGTGGGCACATACACGCAACCCCCCTGCACTCCCCCCACTTTTGGCACGTGATGGCAAAAAGGTTAGCCATCACTGACCTAGATTGTATAATTGTTGGTAATTGTGTTGCACAACTGCTGTTGGTAAGCACCAGGTGTCTGTGTGTGTAATAAGACCATGCCTGACATATATGAGTGGTGGAGTAATGCTACCTAGCCAGCAACCTGCTAAGATGGACTTCAGGATTTAAATAGCAGGGTCAGAGAAAAATTGTTACTTGGAGGTCTTCTACTCCAACCCCGCGTAAAATTGGAGGTGTCTTGGCAACGTTTCGACGAAGTCTCATTTGTCATCTTCAGGCTGCTGTTCTCGGCTTCGTGCTTCTAGGAGCAATGTGTGTGATCGCAGCTGTTTCTTCCTTTAAATATATATACATTTGTATATATATATTTGTATATATATATATTTGTATATATGTTTTCTGAGGTTTTCACGGGTGTTTGTATGTAGGTCTTTGGTTATTCGTGTTTTCTCCCGCGTAAAATTGGAGGTTTCTTGGCAACGTTTCGACGAAGTCTCATTCGTAATCTTCAGGTTGGTGTCTTTGGCTTCGTGCTTCTAGGAGCAATGTGTGTGATCGCAGCTGTTTCTTCCTTTAAATATATATACATTTGTATATATATATTTGTATATATATATATTTGTATATATGTTTTCTGAGGTTTTCACGGGTGTTTGTATGTAGGTCTTTGGTTATCCTAAATAAATAAATAAAATTAAAAAAAAATAATATGAGGAAGGCTTGGCTTTCACCTCCCTCGGTCAATTAGGGTTTGTTTGTTTGTTTGTCCCCCTCACAACCAAAGAAGGAAAGTCGGCTTCGACCTCTTCCTTCCAATGGCGCCCAAATCCAGCACGAGGGACCGTTTTTCCCCCCCGCCATTTCTGAAGCCCCGCCCCGTTTCCTTCGTCACGCCCTTCAAGCCCCGCCTCGCCCAAGAAACCCCGCCCACCCAAGCTGTCCTGGCGACGCTCGGCGGCGTCGCCGTCTCCTCTAGAAGCCCCGCCCCGTCTGGTGCCCACTGCGAGAGGCGAGCGAGCGAGAGAGCGAGAGAGAGAGACCCCCCCCACGCTTTCGCTTCCGGGTGACGCGACCGCGGCGGTGCCCCGCTTGGGTTTTGCTTCCGGCGCCGTCCCGAGTCGGGGGCCGGCGGCGGCGGCGGGGAGGGGCCGCCCCTGCGCAGCGGCTACCTGAGGACGGCGGTGAGGGACGAAGGGGGCGGCGGCCAGGCCAGGCCAGGCCAGGCCAGGCGGCGGCGCGAGGGGGTCGGAGGCCGCGCCGAGCCATGGAGCCGCGGCTGTGAGGAGCCCCCGGCCCGGGCCCCGCCTGTGGGAAACCGGGCCGTGGTCGGAGCCGGAGGACATGGACAAATTGACCATCATCTCAGGATGCCTCTTTCTGGCCGCCGATATCTTCGCCATCGCCAGCCTGGCCAACCCGGACTGGATCAACACCGGCGAGTCCGCGGGTGGGTCGGCGGGGACGGAGGGGTCGCGGAGGGGCTGGGCAAGGGCGGGGTGGGGGGGGTGGTGGGGGGGAGAAAGAAAGCCAGCCAAGACCCCGGGAGGAAAGGACGGGACGGGAAGCCTCTACGACCCCCTCCCCACGGACGCGCGTGGGGGTAGGGGGGAACGAGCCCCCAAATCCCGAGCTTGGTGTGGGGGGGGGGAAGGGGGCTGTTGCGAGAAGGGGAAATGTGGGGGTCGAGGCAGTGGAGAGAGAGATTTTGCCTGCAGGGGAAATTGGGGGGGGCGGGGGGGGGCTGGACTGGATGGACCTTCGGTCTGAAGGCCTTTTTGGGGGGGACAGAAGGGGGTTTTTTGGGGGGGGACAAGAGAGAAAGAGAGAGAGAGAAAAGCCATGGAGGAGAAGACGAGAGAGTCCAGCCCTGCCAGGGTTTTTCTTCCCAGGATGGGTTGCGTAGTTGCTCTGTGAGTTGACCCCCAATTGTTTCTTGTGTGTGTGTGTATTGACTGTATGTGTATGTGTGTGTGTGTGTGTGTGTATGTATATATGTATGATGTATAATATATATATATATATATTATATATTTTATATATTATATATATTATATATATAATATTATATATATATATTATATATTTATATAATATTGTATCTTAGGCTTTTCTCTTTTTCGTGCTTTTAGGTGCAATGTGAAGCCGAACGAAGCCGAGACACCAGCTAAGATGACGAATAACTCGTCGAACGTGCAAGCACTTCCAATTTTACGTAGGTAAGACCTGGAATAAGAAAGAACATACAAATATGTATGTATGTATGTATCTATATATATATATATGTAGGTAGGTCGGGTAGGTCTTTGGTTATTCGGGTTTTCTCCCGCTTTAGAGAAACACTGCTCTAACTATATCTTATCTATCTATCTATCTATCTATCTATCTATCTATCTATCTATCTATCTATTTATTGGTTCGATTTATATGCCGCCCTTCTCTGGAGACTCGGGGCGGCTTACAATGCGTTAAGCAATAGCCTTCATACTTTTGTATATACCTGCTTAGTAGGGCTTTCGCCCCCCCCCAAGCGGTGTTCTTTTTTATACAAAGTCAGCTTATTGCCCCCACAATCCGGGTCCTCATTTTACCTACTTCGAAAGGATGGAAGGCTGAGTCAACCTTGAGCCTGGTGAGATTTGAACTTGCAGTAATTGCAGGCAGCTGGTGTTACTTAACAGCACTTTAGTCTGCTGCGCTACCAAGGCTCATATATATGTGTGTGTGTGTGTGTATGTATTTCTCTTTAGCCAGGTTCTTCCTACATAAACCAAGATTTTTATGCAGCCCTAGTTCAGCGAAATGACAATCCATTAGTTTCTAGGCTTTTTTTTTTCTGGCAGCCAGCAAACACTCTGCTGCCCATTGGGAGACTAAGGAGACTAAGATAGACTATATAACTATATATCTATATATATTATATATATACATACATACATACATACATACATACACTATTTGGGGGGAAGGGGGGGTGGAAAGAGGTCAAAAGGTATCTGAGGATTAACCTGGATAAATAATCCCGGTCAAAAGAAGTCGTGGAAGAGAAACCAGGAAAATCGAGGCGGGGTGGGGGGAAGGCAATCATTGTTAAATGCCACCTCTTGGTTCAGTGGCAAAAAGGCTGCTTCGTATGGGATGCTTGGGCTCAACGGTGACGCCTTTTGTTTGTGATGGTGAGTTTCTCCTTGGCTGCTGTGACGAAAAGGGTGTTGATTGAACTGTCTAAATCTGCCCTAAAATCCTCTTAAGTGTGGCCAACCATGGCAACTTTTAAGACCTGTGGATTTCAACTCCCGGAATTTCCTAACCAGCTATATACTGTTCTGTTATTCTCTGGGAATTGAAGTCTACGGGTCTTAAAAGTTGCCAAGGTTGGGACCCCCTGGTGTAGCTTTGGTGGCTGGTATCTGTTGGGCTTCAGGGTTTATAGTGACCATTGTCAAAAGTCTGAATTACAGCATAGCAGAGTTGGGAGGAACCTTGGATGTCTTCAGTCCTAGCTCCACCTCCTGCCATTCTGACAAATGGTTGTCCAGTCTCTTTTTAAAACCTCCAATCCTGGAGCACCCACAACTTCTGGAGGCAAGACTGGAATCTGTTGTTATCTGTTGTCTAGATCATGGTCAGTCACTAAACCCACAAGCCCAACATCGTCTATTCTCTTAAGGCGTTTGGGGACAGAGGGAAAAAAAAATACTTCTTTATTTCCTTTTTCAATCCCCAAATCTTATTTGTTAGAAAGTAGAGAATCTTCAGTTGCTGGATTTGATCAATTTCAGTCAGCCACCATGTAGATCAGGAAATTTTCGGAGCAGGGTTAAATGTCCCTCCTGCCTTTGCTGTAAATCTGGGATAGAAGGGATAAAAAGTACCACACAGGTGCAACTTAAGAGGAATTAGTAAGGAATTTGGTTTCTGTGTAGAGAAGGTGCAAGTATTTTGTAAGCTGCTGTAGCCCATTGACCAACAATTGAAGTTTGTAGGGTCTAAGAAGACAGTGTTCCTCAACCTTTCCAGCTCAGTGGACCTGCAGTGGGCTGGTGGGGGAGAGAAGATGGTTTTTGTGTGTGTGCCACTTTCACAAATACAGTTTTGTTCGTGCATGCATGTGCATGTTCACCCACCACTTCTGCAGCCCGAATATGCTGCGGTCTGCCGGGCTAAGACGAAGGAGACTGAACATGTTCATTCATTTGAAGTTCTCTACTGAGAATGTGTGTAAAGACTTACTTACACTACACCCTTCAACATAGAGACTCTGCGGTGGCAACAGGATTTGGCACTTGTCCTCCCTCACTACTAACTGCTCAGTTGAGATCATGTATCTCTAGAGTTCCATAATGTGAAGTCGTCATTGACAGATTGAATGGGAATAGAAGAGTACTGGCTTGGAGCTTAGTGCTTCCGGAAGTGCCTAGCTAAGTTGAGCTTGCAGTTGCACCTTATCCGTCTCCTACACCTTAGATTTTGAGTCCATTAAGTGCAGTTTTGGAAGGAGCTTTGGAAGAAGAGAGCTGGCTTGGACTAGTGCTTAAGACACCCGGCTAGAAAAGTGGGAGGCTTGAGTTCTTATCTCACCTTAGCCATGAAAGCCGGTTGGGTGACTTTGGGCCAGTCCCCCCCCCTTTAGCCAACTTCACCCTCACAGGGTGGTTTTTGTTGGGAAAATAGGAGGAGGAAGGTGTGTTGTTGGATATGTCTGTTGTCTTGAGTTATTTGTAACTCAAGGAGGGATATAAATAAATCACCATCTAATTTTAGTTGAGTTAGTTGAGTTTACTTGATCGTCATTGCACTTCGTACAGTGAAATTAAATGCCATCTTCAGTGATCTTCAGCATCAGTCTAATGTTGATTGAGGCCCTTGTTCTAAAGGAAAAAACCCTTTGGAAGTGTAGTTTTCATAAGAAGTAAAGTGTATCTTGTGCATGGTGATACACGGGTAGCGTTACTGAAAGAATTGTGTACTAATTTACTTCTATTTTTCCTTCTGCGTAATGTTCATTGTTTCGAAAGAACCATCTTATTATAAGCTTGAGAAATGAACGTCTAGTCCTAATGTGGCATCTCTGGAGAAAACTTGCAGGCAAACGGAAAAGCAGAATTATTTTAGGAAATTGGCAGTGGACCTCATGTGGCTATTGTTCACCTAACCCAACCCCCCCCTTTACCTAAATCCGTTTCGGGTATAATAGCTGCATTTGCAAAATGTAATGAAACTTAGTTTCGACTTTGGTTAATTTTTATGTGGTTTATTTTGCCTAGCGTCAACGTGTTCGAATCATACTATACTATACATATACCGAAACTTTAAAAACATCATTTTATTTTTATTAATCAGGCTAAGCCTCTCGTGGAGAGGCTGCCAATAAGAAAGCTGTATGACCTTTGGGGCACATGCACCGTGTTTATAAATATCTAACTTTAAAAGAAACAAGGGAAGGAGTTTGTGAGCTTGGTTCACCTCAGGTGAAAAGAACAAGTTGTGCTCGGGTCAGCAAAGTACATTCCAGCTAGTTGTTTCAGGAAGGAAAAAAACAGCAAACAAAGTGGGGGAAAATGGCTTGGAATTAACGTCCCCTAAAAAGTAAGAGCAATAAATCTTTTCTGTTCTTTATTCCTCATTTTGCAGCCTTCCAATGCCCCTATTTTGCCTGGGGTTGAGTGGGGTGGGATGGGGGGCAGGCACAGCATGAGAATGAGGAGCAGATGAAGTTAAGTGCAGACCAAAAGAAAAGGCAGAGGTTAAGAGAGTAAATTTGGGCCGGAGATCGAATTTAATCGAATTGTTCTATATCGGTCTTTCTCCAACTTGGCAACTTTTAAGATGTGTGGACCAGCTCCCAGAGTTCCCCAGCCAGCCTATGCTGATAAACATGCCAGCTTTAGAGAAACACTGCTCGCTCTATCTATCTATCTATCTATCTATCTATCTATCTATCTATCTATCTATCTATCTATCTCTATCTATCTCTATCTCTATCTCTATCTATCTATCTATCTATCTATCTATCTATCTCTCTATCTATCTCTATCTCTATCTCTATCTATCTATCTATCTATCTATCTATCTATCTATCTATCTATCTATCCCATAACACCCAAAATGTGAAAGCAATAAAGGGAATATAAAAGAGTGTGTTTTAAAAAAAGGGTGGGTTAGAAATAACCAACCTTGGCTTTTGTCCGTTGTTGGCCATTCTTGGAGCACGCGTGTACCCGTGTTTCTCGGGAAAAGAGGGCTCATTCTCTTCATTGTACGGAGGCTTTTGTATATGCGATGGGAGAGGCCATTCGGGGAATTGATTTATATTCCTGTGCAATACAATTCAAACGGCAGCGCCGTTTGTTTTGCAAATGTGATAATAGCCGCTGAGAGAAGAGACCTGGATGCCTGCAGGACTTTGGTGGGTGTGTTTGTAGCAAATATAAATGGTATGTGTGTGTG